AGCTTTCCATTTGCCTGTGGTCATCTCCCATTCAAAAATGCAATACCAATGAAAATGCAATGCTAACAAAAATAGAATCAGATCTTGGTATGCACTAAGAGGTCTTAAATAGTGTACTTTGTCCAAGGGATAATGGATTTATATTTGAAAAGCACTCAAAGGTCACATACAGAAGAATGGATCTTACCTCATTTGAGTCATCTAAGGCTTAGGCAACAGCTCTAAGTAATTTTGCATTCCTCATACTGTCAACAGAGAGAGGGGCCCTCCCAAGGAAGATTCCCCAATTCTAAAACTACGGCTTTAGAGTTCCTCTCATCTACCTTGGTGGAGGAAGGGACATCCCCTTTGGTAATTTCCCATGTTCTCATCAAGTGTAGCTGACAGTGGAAATATATAGTACCAGTGAGCTGTCTAAGGGGGGATGTGAACTGGAAGTGGCACAGCTGTATGACTATGACATGAATTCTAGAATAACTATGCCCAATGAAGGGTAGAACCAAACAACTCCATCACAGTACCATGCTGAAACTTGCAAGCTTTGTGCTAATATTTACACAGAGTGCTGCCCTGTGTTGTGTAAACACATCTTCTGGGTACCCATGGCACATTGCTGCATGGAGCAGTATGAACAAATACAACATTTTGTTGAAAGCTGCCAGTATTTTGAGGTGGCTGAAACAGTTTTTTTTTTATATTCAACTGGATGCTGAGCACATTTCAGATGATAGTCTTAAAGGGAATAGTCTTAAACTGAGACGGGGGAGATTTAGGTTAGATATTAGGAGGAAGTTTTTCACACAGAGGGTGGTGACACACGGGAACAGGTTGCCCAAGGAGGTTGTGGATGCCCCATCCCTGCACGCATTCAAGGCCAGGCTGGATGTGGCTCTGGGCAGCCTGGTCTGGTGGTTGGCAACCATGCACATAGCAGAGGGTTGAAACCAGATGATCATTGTGGTCGTTTTCAACCCAGGCCATTCTATGATTCTATGATCCTTAAGTTTAAATGAGATAAATCCAACTGTGCAAAACAGGTCAACAACTTAGCTTGTATCTCCACATCAGAAATGATACTTAGCAAGACAAGGAATGCTTCCTTCACTGCTGCAGATCTCTGGGAAGTTAAATACGCAAGTGGCCAAACTCACTCATTGTAAAACTCAATTGACTTCATTCAAAAAGCTCCTATAAAGATCAGTGATGTCATTGGAGTCCCACTAGGGGTGATTTTGGCCCATGCCATTCCTCCTGTATAGTCATTGGATAAGAATGTAGGGAAGAAATGTGTGCTGGTCTGTAGGACTGCATTGCTCAACAAATCTGCCAGGACTGAAAAGGAGTTACACATGAATATAAACTTGTCTTGCATGCTCTGTTACATCTCTCAGGTCAGCCACTACTTTCAGCTGCCCAGGTATGAATTGGCATAGCTTCTCTTGCTTCAGTAGGATTGAGAAAGAGTTTATACAAGAATGTGTCAGGCCACGTGGGAGCAAAGGGAGCAACATTATCCCCATTTTGCAGATGACAAAAACAAAACAGGAGCTGATGTGGTTTGCTTCATCTCACAGGTGGTGACAGAGGTAGAAAAGGTATTGAAAGTCAAGCACTTTCAGCTCCTGACCACTTAGGCCTCGTATTCCTGTGATATATATTTGTAATTTCCCCCTCCCCATCTCCCTTCTCCCTGCCACAACCCCATCAGCATTTTCTGTTGCCACACAACTGGGAAGCTGGGATTAATCCATCCCCGGGGAAATGGGATTAATATACAACTCATGTGGAACCTTTAAAAACCCAATGATTTGTGGTCCCCTTCTCAGACACATGTATTCCACAGCTGAAAAGTCAGTGTTCACTGTTCCAGTACACATTCTGAAAAAGGCTTTTGCTCTCTTCCATGAATGTACACTATGAAGACCCCATTTGACACAGTTTCTTCCTGAATCCAAAAGAAGAGCAGACTGTGTAGAATCAGGCCCTTGCAGAGCAACAGTTTATGGGCAGAAAAAGAATGACTGGAATGCAAAGGAAAAAAAAAGAAAAGGGGGGGAATGAAAGAGAGAGATGTGCCAAGACATTTTCTCCTGTAACTGGTAATGGTTAAAAAAAGAAGATAGAAAATGGGGTTTCCCTTGTAAATCTTGCAGTAACAGACAACCATGCCCTGGTTTTTACTCTTGCAAACTCCCGTTCAGTGATTCTTTTTCTGATGAAAATGCAAAATTCAAAGCAACTGTGGAAACAGAATCAACTCTCAGTTGGCAGACAGAGGCCTAAGTAAATTTTATTCACTGCATGATTGTCAAATTAAAACACATGCAAAGAGAAAAGAAAAGGGAGATAATTAATCATTTTAATTATTTGTGATCCTGATTCTAAAGGCACATCTCCCATATATTTCTCTTCATTTATTCTAGGGTTAGTAGGAGTTATCTCTTCTGGCTGTCATGAATCACTGCAGTGATATTGCCTAGCAAAACACAAAACACTGGAAGAAATAGGCAAACTATTCACCAGTGCAGCTGAGAATGTGACCAGAGTGATAGCCTTTGTTTGCACGCAGTAGAAAGTGGCCTTCTGGGAAGAGGAAATGGACACACATCTACATTTTAGTATAAATGATGTTAAGAGGCTGTGTGTGCATCCTGTGCTCCGTATGCCTATGCAGTTTTAATACATCTGTAATTCTGATTATGACAGTTCTGGTGTGTTGTTTTTGGGGTTTGTTGTTTTTGTTGTTGTTGTTGTTGTTTTATTGCACATAAAAATACATGTCCAGGGAAATTCTTGGCAGGCACATCAGCAGGCTTCAGCTATACAAATGAAATGCTTCTCATGCCCAGCTGGGAGGAGTGGCTTATCCACCTCACGACCCCGCGGTTACAATGGTTCCCAGGGCGGCCGCGGTTTCTTACCTCTCCACGGGTGTTTCGTTATCCTGGTGTTAAAGAGATGATGGTGTGACCGTGGGAAAGCCTCAGCGAAGTGACCCTCCCTGCGTTCCCTCCTCCCTCCCTTCGGACCCGACTCGGAGGGCCGCCTCGTAGTCACGATCCTTAAAATACTGACTCCGAGCGACAGAGCCCTTCGCTTTCCCATATCGCTGCCGGACCCCGCGTGCGTGCCGCTGCCTTTTCTTGCTGCATAAATGACGCGAGGAGATTGCAGGGAGAAGGGGGGGAGGGGGCTCAGCGGGGGCCTTCTCTCTGTATCTCCCTTTAGAAGAAAGGAGAACGGCGGGGGTTGGGGTGAGCTGCTTCTCCTTTAGGCTGGCAGCCAGCGCCGCGGCAGTGCCCGGAGCTGCGCACCCCTCCTCGGACAGGCACTGAGCGTCGCGCGTCCGAGCCGGCAGCGCCGTTCGCCGGCGGCAGGAGGAGTCCGCTCGGAGAGCCGGCGGGCGCGAGTGCCTTTATCCAAGGGAAGCTCCGCAGGCACCGGCTGGCGCGGCGGAGAGGCGGCCGCTCCCGCTGTGCTTTGCGCAAACCCTTCGGGGACCGAACACATTGCAAATTGTACGCTCCCCCACCCTCCCTCCGATACACGAGAGAACGCGGCCCGACTCGGCTCGGCAAAGAGCGAATAGTTTTCTGCTCAGGATTCCCCTGGGGAGCGCCGCGCACATCACCGCGCTCGACTCACGGTGGCTGCTATTCGTTGTCGGAGCCGATTCCGGCTTCCTACAGGTTTGGGGGGTGACTCCCCCTACACACACTCCTTGCTTATTCCGAACAGTTGGTTCTCAGATGCCTTTTAAGACAAAACCAAAAGCCTTTGCGCGGATTGGAAAGCGGACGGCGATGGGAAGAGAAGGAAAAGCGAGCTGGCTTCCGACTCGGGTTCCCACAGCCTCCAGAACTAGATGTGCCATCTCTGCACCCTGTGCTTCGCAATGGCCTTTCTATTCTGAAGGTGGACTCTGCAACCCGTCTTACAAGTGCATCTAAATTAGCTACGATGTGCTCGAGTCGGTGTCCAATTAAAATAATACCAGTAATAATGATAAAATAAAAAGCAGGGAGAGAATTTTCTTTCCCCTCTCCCCTCCTTACGTTAAGAGAATTAGAACCACAACTTTTCTCCTGTCGCAGATAGGATTCCTTGACCAAATAAAGAAATATCTTCTTAAAGCGGAGCAGGAAAGGGGGAAAGAAACCTCTTTGGATGGGGCGGATAGCTTTGGAAACGCGAGAGGAGGTCCGCTGTTACTTCGGACGTGTCACCGTGCTCATGTGCAAGACGCTTCTCTTATCTCGGGACTCTGCCTTGTGACGAGAGTGGAGGGCTTGGGCTTTGCCGAGCAGACGGGAGAGAACGACCAGAGGCTCTTCAAAGGCTCAGGCGGATGCCCCCGCTCTGCGCTCTCTCCCCCGTCTCGATCCAAAGCGGTTTCGCTGTGGAATAAACATCTCTGATCTAAGACAGCTGCCGGGAATCTAAGGCCGCCCCCAAGAAGGGTGAAGATGCGACTGAAAAATGCCCCAATTCCCGACAAGTGAAGGGAAGCGGGTGCGAAGGCCGCTCTGTCTGCTGAGCCTTCGGGCTGTGTAAGCGCTAACAGTTCGCCCATTATTCATCTCATTTGTGTCATAACACCTCTGACACCTCATCTTATCAGCTAATACCTAAGATTCAGTTACCCAAGACGATTTTTTTTTTTTTTTTTTCCACGCCAGCAGCATAAAGATTTGACACCCTACGGATCTGTTTGCTTTTGTGAGCCTTTACAAAAAAAAAAAAAAAAAAAAAAAAGGAGAGGGAAAACGTCTGGGTAAAGATCCTGAGCTTCCGAGGTCGTTAGAAATAAGCGCTGAGGAAATATTAAGATCACTTAGGAAAACAAAAAAAAAGTTCTGAATACTGACAGAGGCAGTTTGATGGGGGAAGAGACTCGAAACCAAATGAACACATAGGTAATCCGTGCAGACTTGCCTGTAAAATAACGATTTATTTTAATACTTAAAAAACAAAAACAAAAAAAAAAACAAAAAACAAAAACAAAAACAAAAACAAAAACAAAAACCAAAAAACCACACACAATCCAGTGATAAATGTCAATTACCAATAATCAGCATAAAGTGCCAAACAGCCATACAACTTTTTTTTTTTTTTTTTTTCCTTTTAATAAACAAAACTTACTGGAATGTCTCTTAATTTGAATACACTGTTCAGAAAGCCAGCATTTTAGAAAAATACGCTCTCAGGTTGAGATTTGTTCCTTCTCATCAGGACTCACGAAGTACCACGCAGACCACGTTGTGCACAGTTTGATGCATTGCCGTCTTTCTTCCCTTTGCTTTTATTTTTCATTTTTAAATAAGTCCACAAGTGACAAACCTCCTCGCAGCATGCTTAGACCACAAGGCAAAAAGAAAGGTCTCCACGTCCCAAGGACGCTGATTTGTCCCAACACCGGGGACCCTCAGGTTTAAGTCCTGGATTCATTTTCCAGCACGTTATAGGACTCCTCACTCAAGACATCTACGATCATTTCCAAAAGTTATTTTTCTTCTTTCAAGAAGACAAAGAAGCAAACAAGATTTGTGAGTTGCCCTTCTCCTTGTCCTGCTGGTGCTATGATGAGAAACCAACACTGCAGTTCTTAACCATCTTCTGGAATTCTCTGTATTTCCCGAAGTGTAAAAATAATAAGCTTTATACAGTCAAAAAAAAAAAAAAAAAAAAAAAAAAAGTATAAAATAAGAGTTTGTTCTTTTTTTTTTTTTTTTTTTAAGTAATACTTTTGGAAGTTACGAGTTGGGAGGGGTCAGGGGGATCTGCTGGGATTTTTTTGTGGGGGATTTTTTTTGTGGGTATTGTAGGTTTTTGTTTGGTTTTTAAGGAGATTTCTGTCCGACACGTGAGCACCACCTTTTGGCATAAAGTTTATCTAAGCCACACATCTAGCACTTTCTGTGTCATTCATGCATGTTTTAAACGCCAAGTAATCTTTTCATCCACAATTTAAGAAGTGAGATTCTTGGGGAGATTTTGCTCTTTCTAAAGTACAAACAAACAAAAAAAAATGCAAAGTTCTGTGCTCCCATCCTGACAGTTTTGTTTCTGTTCTGGTTTTGGTGTAAAATCTGAAGGGCAGGAAAAGTTCATAGAAGTCGGAGCTTCAGCACTTAAGTTTGGCAGGTTTCAGTTCCTTTACTTGTGTGTGCAGTGTCTTGTGGACAGCTAGTGTTCTGGACTGGCAAAATCCTTTCCCACATTCTTGACACTTAAAAGGCTTTTCTTTAGAATGGATATATCTAGGAAGAGAAAAACAATCAAGATGTCAGAAACAACTGGCCTGAATTCAGCACTGATAGAAAACACTCCAGAGATTTTTACAGCTACCACTAAGACCAAGAGTGCCGGAATGCAACACTCTGGCAATCAGCTTTATGTATGTGGGCAATAAGAGAGGGGTGCTAGAGGCACACAAGGGTCTTCTGTAGGGATAAAGTATTTCTGACTAACTTCAGGATCACAAGGCTGCCTGTCTTCACAGAGTGATCACAAAGGTAAAGGCTACGGGGATGCGAGCAGAAAATGAAAATGTCTGTGGAAGCTGAGGAGATTGTACAGGTCATCTTTGTAGGGTGGATAGGTTTAACAGGCTTCTCCTACAAGTGAGTGATCTGAGCTTCCCTACCAGCACTGGATAAAGAACTTAGGCTGAGCAGTGCTGCCCAGCTGGGGACACAGCCTTTCTTACAAGTATGACTGCTTTATGACTGTAGGTGGGTTACCAGGAAAGCACAGATACACAAGAAAAATGGACAGGAGAAGAACTTTACCTGTGGTCTCTCAGGTGATCTTGTCTTCTGAAGGCCTTGTGGCATATGTCGCATGTGTAGGGCCGTTCATCAGTGTGGGTTCTTTCATGGATCAAAAGGTTGTACGACTTGGTGAAGTGCCTGCCACAGAATTTACACACAAATTCCTTCTTGGTTTTGGATGGTAACCTTCCCCGGGTGGGTTTCTTCTCCGGAGAGAGTTTAGTCACCTCAAGCAAAGACCCCAGCCCTGGCGGGGAGCCCTGGCTATCCACCTGTCCCAGTTTAGAGTGGTCCTCTTGTGTGGCAGCCACTGCTAGGTTGGCAAAATCAAAGCGGGGTTTAGCTTTGAGGGTCATGTTAGCAGCCTCTTGCTTGGGCTGGATGACATGTGGGAAGAGTGGGAAGGTGGGCAGCTGGAACCGTGCATCCACCAGGCTCGATACGCTGGGCACTTTGGAGAAGGAGGAACGGGGCAGATGCATGGCCGGGTAGCCCAAAGTCCACTGGTGCAGGTGTACGGCGTGCAGGGCGCTGAAGCCATAGAGATTGGAGAGGTGGTCAGAAGGCACAGCGGGCAGCCCGTTGAATGCTTGCAAGAAGGAGTAGTTGGTAAGCTGGAGGGAAGGATGGATAGGCACTGGGGCCGGCAGAGTCTTACTTCCCATGGTGGCCACTTAGGAGGAGGACCTTGGGAACAGGGGAGGAAAAGATCTGGAAAAAAAGAGAAAGAAAAAAAAAAAAGAAAAAAAAAAAAAGATGTGGGGAGAAGAAAGAGAGATGGATTTATATAAAGTTAATAGCAAAAGGAATTTCTCACTTCGTTTCTTACTAATGCCCCTCTACAAAGACTCAGGAGGAGATTGTCTTGGACTTGGAGCTTGGAGAAGTCTGATCATCTCTTGACTGCAAATGTATCCACATGGATCTCCAGAATCTCCTTCTCCCGATCCCTCACACAGCAACATCATGCTCCATCCACAGACATTTCCCTCCCCCCCACCTAAACAACAGCATCCATGTGCCAAGAGTGCCCCTGATGACCTTCCGCACAGGGACAGCGAGGAGATACCTATCAGCCCTTCTCAGCCTTTTTAAAATGATGGGATACCGTTCATTCAGTCTGCCCTCCAAAACTGCCTTCAGCCCTCACTGATGAGGAGATGTGGGATTGAGTTGCAGAGAGCTTGCTGCTCCAGGTCGCTCACCTCTTCATGGTCTGCCCTCAGCCCTCTGAATCTGGGCTTGTTGGGTACTCAGAACTGCTCATACTCTCTCATTCAAACAGATAATGCCCTTAAAGTTTGTTGGTTGTTCTTTTTTTTTTTTTTTTTTTTTTTTTTTAAGCAACAACAGCAAGAAAAAAAAACCAACTCCCTCTATATACCACAAAAAGAAATGGGAAAAGGCTGCATCTGGGTGACAAAACTTCAGTGCCATTTGCTCTCTCTACAGGGAAGTGCCTGGCTTCCAGCCCATATCCCAGTCTAGGCAATTGCTTAATTAAAGCCCTTCACAAGGGAAAAAGGCAAGGGCTGGAGGGACTATTCCTGTGCAGACACCCAGCCCACCAGCTGCAGGGCCACAGTCCTTCTCCAGGCTGAGTGCCACCACTTTGCTCTGCATTTCAGGGTGCTGCCAAGCCCCCAGCCTCTCCTCCAGGCCAGATCCCTTCTCATTCCATCCTACAATATGGAGGGGAAAATGCTAACAGACAGCAATATGGAGGCACATCTGGCCCTGCCTGCAGACTGAGCCCTCAGCACTGTCAACCATTTGGCAGGAGATGCCTCCGTAGGGTTGGCAGTGGGGATAGAGCTTTTCCTCTTTGTGTTGTGAGAGAGCACCCAGAGCTTTTGGAGGCATTGTAGCCCTGCACCCCAAGGATGCTCTTTGTTCCACAGCTCGTAGGTTGTTCTCACTCCACCCAGAAAATCCCACTCTGGGATTTTCTCTCAGCGAGAATCCTTTCCCTTAGGATCTCCATAGAGTGCACATAGGGTACTCCTAAGATCACCATGGGATCTACATAGAGTCCTGTAAGGTGTCCTTAAAGGGCTCCTGAGTCCCTTAAGGATTCCCACAAGATTCACACAGGGTCCCAACAGGACCCTATGGCATTCCCATGTGAAGAATGAAGCTTCTTGGAGAAAAAGAAGCAGCAAAGTGCTGCAGAGCATTAATTGCCCTCCTGATCTGGGGAGACAAGGGAACAGGAGGCACGCTGGTGGCCAAAGGGTCTAAGGACCAGGGAAACAAATCTGATTTATACGTGGGCAGTTGCCCGGAGCGAGATGCTGCGGATGGGAGGGTGTGAGAGTGAGAATCTTACTCTGAGCAGCTCTCTATGCCAGGTCCACCTTTCACACCACTCTACATAAATCAGCGGCAGGAAGAGAGAGCCAAACCGTAGAGGAATTCCATCGCAATGACCCAGAATAAGAGAGGGTGAGATTTTGCTTTTTGGCTTCCCCCGCCTCCCCCCCATCCCTTCCCCAAATTGCAGGATTCATTTTGCATAGTGGCTGATTTCAGAACCAACACGTTGAATCCTCCTCCCTCTCCTCTCTGTTTTATTTATTTATTTCTTTAACTATTTAGGGCTGGCGATCCAACGGGACCGTTGTATCCTTCGGCTGGAGAAGAGCTTTTCTTGTTCTTAGCGCTGCCCTCACGCTAAGGCATGTCCTCTCCCCAGCACAAATGCCTCCAGCGATGACCCCCGAGAACAAAACAAACGGAAAATCCTCTGGTCCGGGTACCTGCAGTGTCTGTTTCTGTTCATCACAACGGCTCTGCGTCTATTTTCCTGGCTGGGTACTCCCAGATCCCTCAAGCATGCAACATGCAATTGCAAAAGGAGTGAGTTTCTGGGCTAACTCAACTGCCTTACTTTGGATTCACAGAAAACATTTAATTTGGAATAAGAAAGCACTAATCTGCTATGCGGATTTGTACTGGTTGTTGCCGACAAAATTAATAATAACAATAATAAGTCTGTTTCTATTTTCCCAAAGAAGAAGGGGGCAGAAGCCAAGCAGCGCAGTGGCAATACCATCCATTGCCCTCGCGGTTGTTTTTTGTTCGCTGGAACAGTTCTGTTTCAGGAAAATAGAAGAGTAAAAAAGGAGAAATAGGAAAAAAAAAAAAAAATAAGAAAAAAAGAGGGGCCGAGAGAGAGGGGGGGGGGGGGGGAAAGGGAGACGAGATAGGAGAAGCAAACGGGAGGTGGGAGCAGAGCGTTCACGTTACTACGAGTTTCTTGGCCCTTTTCCAGCAATGTAAGCTACACTTCTGCTCTGTTGCGACCGGGGACGGACAGAAGCACAGACGGAGCGCGGAGCATTTCATAGTGAGGTCCCTTCTTTTGGGACATCAAAGCGCGTCCCAGAGCGGTGACTCCGCTCTCCCGCACACAGATCACCGTTTCTTTGATTTCTGTGTCACCTCCACCTTTCCTTCTGTTCCGTGTAAACAGATCTTATCAGGCCTTTTATTATTATTGTTATTATTATTTCCTTCAGAAGATCCCACGAGCGCTTTGCTTCAATTCCCCCAACCGTAATAAAACAGTGCGAGGGTTTTGTTTTCTTTTTTAATTCTAACACAGAGTCGCTCGGTGAAGTAATTGAGACCAAACCACCGTGTTCTGCCTGAAACAAAACCCACTCGTGCCAAGATAAATTTATCCTGCACAAATAGGATCATAAACTTGAAAGCCTACATCTGCCTCCAGCTTTCTTACCCTTTGTCCTGTTTGAAGATACCGTAATGCTATTGTCCAGTTGCCATTGTTTTAAGACCGTTGTAAACCTTCCAAACTAAATTCTACCTCTCCTATGCGAAAATAATAATAATAATAATAAATAAAAAGGAAAGTAAGGAAAAGAAAGAGGAAAAACGGAGCCGGTAACACAGCGAGAAGCGAAATTAAATGGATTTTGAAGTAACCCCGTGGCCAGGCGATATTTTTTCCTTTCTACCTTGAATTATCAATTTCCGATGTGCCCTTTGAAAGGGATATTTGTTATATTAAATACCTGACCATAAATAATGAGCTTTGTTAATTAGTTCCACATGGGAGAGCGGCGGAGGTAAATTGCCCTGAGAACGTTGCTTATTTTTACAAACATGATAAAGTAGCGGGCATAAAACGCTGCATTCTTGGGATAGCCACAAACTGGATCAGGTTCATCTGTCAGGAAAAGTCGCCGCTTTCGGATCCCTTTCAGGTCCGGCATTCAGGTCCTTTCGGCTCTATCGCGCCTCTTGTGCGGCGTTTTGCCACCGGGTCTCCGCTGCTTCGTCCCTCTGCGGGACGAAGCTTTTCCTTCCTATCAGTTTATGCGAGAAAATGGAGCTTACAACTGTATCTGTATTTGGGAAAGTAACTAGAAAGGGAATGAAACGGCCTTTTGGCTCCGCATTACCCGAACGTTGTGCTCCGGGGGAATAAAGAGCATTGTTCAGCGCAGATTAATTCGAAGCATTAACGAAGTGTGCAGAATCTATTAAAGCGGGTTTATTCGCGGCTAATTGAGCGTGAAAGAGTTAATTGCTAACATTAATGAGCACTGGAAGGGCTCAGTCAGCATGTGCCTTGGATATCTCCGCTCGATCCTTATAAAATCATCATTCACATTTTATCACGAAATCGGTGTTGACAAGTTTCGCCAGACCACCACCGCGAACGCTGATGAATGCGGTGGATTTCAGCCTCGCGATAATAATACGAAGCGGGGTTCGACCGCGGTTCCCCGGGGGCAGCTTTCCACCCACCCTCCCCCCCCCGTCCAAAGTGACACAAACTCTCCATCCTTTGGGCCTTTGCGGGCGGAGCGCAGCCCCACGCGGGCAGTGGGTGCGGGGGGGTCCGTAGGGCGGCCCCGCTGTGCGCTCCCTGCAGAAGTGTTTAGGTTGCTTTGGGAGTTCTCGGTGTTGTTAAAACAACCCTCCACACACACACACACACACACACACACACACACACACACACACCACGCGTGTCTAAAAGCCCCCATACAGGAGTCAGTCGGGATTTCTCCCCCGAGAGAAACGCCCTTCCTCTCTCCCGGCTGCAAGTGGCGTTTCTGCCCTCCGTACCCCTCCGCTTCCGCGGGGTCGGGGGTTAAACCCTTCGGGGTGACACCGTCGGGGCACAGCCCTAGGACCGGCCGAGAGCGGTTCAACCCTCCTCGACCGCCCGGTGCAGCGCCGGGCACAACGCGTTGCGGCCGCTCCTCTCCCGAGCGCAGCGCTGCTTTGGGGACGGCACTTTGATTTCTTTTCTAAGCGGGTTTCGGACTTGCTAAGCCTGAGCCCACTGTGCACCTGTCCGAGACACGGCTCTCACCCCCTGACCTGCTTACGTTACCCCCGCAGATTTCTGCTGAGCTGCAATACGCCCGATTTTTAGTAGTTTCCTTCCCCAAAAGCCAGAAATAACAACTATGTTCTAATCCTCGGCTTTGCGCGGACACTTCATAGGCTCGGCCTCGAGGGGAGCCCAGTTTCTCCCTACACTGAACTTGTTTTGGTCCGTTCAGACAGTTATAAACATCGGATTCATTTCTGCTATGGCCTTGGAGAGAAACAGAACGGTTCTCAGAGCCTGGAACTCGAAAAGTTGAGCAGAAAAGAAAGACAAAGAGAAAAAGAAAAAAAAAAAAAAAGATAGAAAAAGAAAAGAAGAAAGAGAAAAAGAGAAAGAAAGTAAGAAAGTAAGAAAGAGAAAAAAGAAAGAAAAGGACAGACGAGAGAGTAGAGAAGCCGAGCGTTCAAACCCATAAAGTACTATCAGACCTCTGGATTGCTCTCGTTGTGTCATTTTTAGCTTGGATTAAAAACACAGCTTTCCACGAGGGGGGATAAACAGCCCCGAGAGGGGAAAGCAAACCTTTAAATAGCATCAGAACATCGAGCCCCGTGTGCGGGCTGCCCCAGCCCTCCGCCCGCCCTGGGGAGAGCGTCCTCCTCACGTGAGCTGCAATGTCCCCAGTGCTGCTGCACCATCCGGAGTGGATGGGGAGGGTGAGGAGAGAGGGAAGGAAAGAAAGAAAGAAAGAAAGGCGAGAGGGAGAGAAAAGGTGTTTGGATCGATGAACGCGACCCCGAGACTTGGCTAAAAACAAAATAACAAACGAAATGAATTGTTCTTTTTATTTACCTAATCCCGATCTGTGCTCCACCGCTGGCAGCAGTTAAAAGATCCCGGGCTAAATCGGAGTTGGTGAAATAAAATAATAACGAGGAAAAATGAAAAAAAAAAAAAAAAAAAAAAAAACTTTGCGAAAAAAAAAATATTCAAAAAAAAAAAAAAAAAAAAGCGGGGCCGTGGGTCAGTGCCTCCACCGGCCTCGGGGGCACAGCTCCGTCCCCACACCCACCCCACCGCTCTCCACGGCCGGGCCGAGCCGGGCCAGGTGTCCAGGTGCTGCGGCTGCCGGAGGTGTTCTCCCTCCCGGCGCCGTGAGCGTATGCCGCGGTACGAACGCGCCCGGGAGTAGCCGAGCTCAGACTGAACAGATCCCTTCCCTACAGCCTCCTCCTTATTTCAACCCCCCCTCCCTCCCCGTTCCCCCTTTCCAACCTCCCACCAGATTTCGGGCATGCGCAAGCGGGGAGAAAGTTGCTGGCTGGGAAGGAACAACTTCTCGAGCCGCTTTCCTGCAAGCAGCAGCCCGGGGCTCGCAGCCCACAAACGCGTGATCCCGTCCCCTCTTCCCGCCCCCCTCCTCTCCTCGGAGCGTCTCCCCGGGCTCCCCTCCGCTCGGCCGTCCCCGGAGGAGCGCTATTCCCGCGGGGCTGCGCGCAGCGCTGCGCGTTGTAAAAGGATGGGGATGGAGGAAAGCAGACCCTCTCCCCGCGAGGCGCTGTGCGGTCGCAACTCCGCTTCTCCCCGAGGGTCTGGGCTCTCCGAGGAAGAGAAAACGTAAAAAGAAATAGCCCCCCTCCCTTAAAATAATAATAACAAAGCGAGGAGGATGGATGGAGGGGGGGATCCGCTCCCTCTAAGACAATTCTAGGGGTCGCAAAGTTGTGCACCCTGGAGGCGCCTACCTGTGAGGTGTCTACCCCGCTGCCCTACTCCCAAGCACCCCTCCCTAACCCCACTTTCCTCCCGGCTCCCCCTCAAATCACTGCCTTCTCCTGTCCCTCATCGCCCGGCCCGGCCCGGTCCGTCTCTCCCCGCACCCGAAGCGCGTTCAGCGCCGTGCGGAGTCCCGCGGAGCGCCCGCGGCTCCGGGAGCTATAGAGAAACGTGGAGGGGACTGCCAGGAAAAAGCGGGCAAAGCAAAATAACGCTCGAAAGAAAAAAGTTAAACTTGCTTTACGATTAATCCCGAGGCCGTAATCTCCTTGCTTATTTGTTTTTCTATTCATCCATCCATTCACACTCCTTTAGATCCGTGAATGGTGGGAAAAAAAAAAAAAAAAAAAAAAAAAAAAAATCGCTCGGGTGTTTTACATCGTCCCGAGGAACCTTGTAATACAATACGGTCGCGAAGACAGATCCGTCGGGGTAACGCGGTGCCACGCTCAGGGACACGCGTGTGGACTTTTATTATCCATGTCACTGGTGGTTTGTACCCAGCTGCGAAGGAAAAAGCAAACAAACAATTATACGTATATATGTATGTAGATGTAAAGCAACAAGAAAGTAGCCGTCCGTCGTGTTATCACCTCGGAGGATGAGCGCTCACAAACACGATGGGGCTGCGGGCTCAGCCAGAGTCTGATCTCCCAGCAGCCCCGTTTTGGGGACGGGTTCGGGGTCCGGCACTGCTCTGGGCGGGAGAAGGGATTTTCTCTGCTTCTTTTGCGAACGAGTGGCATTTTTATGAGGCAGAGGCAAAGCAAAGACGTTCTCCCGTCCCAGTCCTTCAGTTCTTTCCTATTTCGTGCTGTTCCTTTCTCTCTTTCTCCCCTTCTTCCTCTCTTTCTTCTCTTCTTTTCTCTCTTTCTCTTTCTTCCTATTTTCCCTTCTTCTTTTTTCTACTCTTTTTCTTTTGTATTGACTTATTTTATTTTACCTCCCCCTGAAACCTGGCGCTTATTTATTTTTTATTCTAGGGATCGAAATGTCCGAAGCGTGACCCCACGGCCGAAGCTGGGAGCTGATGCCCCCGACTAACTTCGCCCTTCCAAAACCAGTTGCCGAGCGCGGCCGGCAGAACGCAAAATGTGGGGTCCCCGAGTGCCCCTCAGCACCGTGCAGGGGATGCACTCCTCTAAGAGCACGTTTCTATTTCCTTCAAGGAAGATTTTACGTGTAGACAAGGGTGGGCTCTTGTATGAACTGAAACACTTTAGAAATAGAACAGGGCAGCGGGGATGGCAAAACACGACAGCGGCGATGATACCTGCACGTGTAAGGGGAGCACAACAAGCAAAATCGCACTTCCATTACAGACCCCATCATTCCGGATTAAATACTTAAGCGCAGAACTAGAGAGCGGTGAGGGATCTCTGCGTCTGGAGGGGGGAGGACGGAGGAAGGGGGGGGAGACGCAGCAAAGATTCCCACGCGAAAGTATTTAAAAATCAAAGCGGGTCGTTGAGATGTGATCCCATCCCGGAGCGTAGCGGAGAGCTGTGGCTGAGGGCTGCCTGGATAGCTTACGGCCGATGTTTGGGTACTGGCTAAAAAATAAAAATATTTGGATTTGTCAAGACACTGGAGATTGTACTGAAGTTTCAGGTTAGCTGTCTCTTTCGGTGCGTTTGGTTGAGATACCTGGTGTTTGAGCTATGCGGGGCGCGCTGTTCCAAAACCTTTATTCTCGGATGGGTTTTTACGATGTCCCTCGCTAATTTGCATTATGTCAACTCTTAACGGTGGGGAACCCAATACCGGGAACGGGCTACAAAACCACGAGCAGGGCTGACACGCAGGGTATACGCTGCGCTTTTCCACAGCGCAGATCTGCTGTCGATTAGGAATGTTACAACTTCAAGAGCCTCGTAAAAAGCGAAGTCATCTGTTCCCAAATCCCGCCACGTTTGTAGGATTTAGATGTGACAGCGAAACCCAATTCGTTTCACGAGAGCTCCGCGAGGGGACTGGGGGCAAAGGGAGACAGAACCTCCATCCTTTCCCCAACCCATCTCAGACACCGCGCACGGTGAAGGCCCCCCCCGGCCGCTCCCCGTGTATGCGGAGGGCACCGCGCGGCTCTCCGCTCCCGCAGCTGCGGAGTAGCGCGGAGCCGCCGCCGCCTCGCACGGATCCGCGGGTGCGGAGGTGCGGCTCTGCTCCCCACCTGCAGAGCATTCCCCCGCCCTCCTCTCTCATCGCTCCGTCCCCAGCGGGTTCTAGGTGTGAGGGCTGACCCCGCGAGGCGCAGGTACCGGGGTAGCTAAGATCGTGGGGATCCGGGAACCCCGCGTTCACCTCCCACCCCTCGCGCTCTGCGGGGATTGAGCAGCCCGAGCCGTGCCCCCCTTCCCTCCCTCAGTCGTCTCCACCTTCGGGACCAAAGAAACTTTGCAAAAAACGATTCCCGGCCCCATCCCGTAGCCGTGTGCGGGTAAAGCTCCCTTTTGCCTCCCTGGGATTTCCTCCCCACGGGGGAACGCAGCTTATCCCTCGAACACTCTTTTATTGAGGAGAAACCACCGTGCTTCTCGCGGAGCATCAGCGAGATGCTGATTCTCCTCCTGGAGAGGAGGAGCGGGGACAGAGCCAGGACAACTTCTCGGCGATGACTCCCAAGGGCCTCTCCGTTGCTCCGAGGCCGGAGAACACCGCACCCCTCCCCTACAACGCGGCGCTGGGTGGGGGGCGGCCGCTCCGAGTCGCCTCCGCTCGATGTTCCCGGGAGAAGGGAGCGGGGCAGAGCGGCCGGAGCCGGCACAAGTGCACGGCAGCGCTCTGCCCTCGCCCTCGGGGCCATTTTCATCAGTGCCACCTGGGGATGGATATAAATAGGTCGATGTATTTTTGCTCTGTTTTGCTTTGCTTCATTCTTCCCCCCCTTCCCCCTCCCCTTCCTGCGGTTCTGCTGCGAAGGATGGAGAGCGTGGGCTCTGCTGAACCCCCTACCCCCCCCCCCCCCCCCCCCACCCCCCCCCCCCCCGGATGGACGCCACGGAGGGGACGGAGCGCGGCGGGGCTGATCTCCGAAGCCCTTCGGGAGGGCGGGTGGGGGACGGCGGGAGCTCCGGAGCGCCCTTTCCGATCGCGATCCCCTTTCCGTGACGACCCCCGGACCGCCGCCCCTCTCCTACGCAGCCACATCGCGGCAACGGCCGCAAACGACACGGCACGGATGGACGGCAGCGAACAGCGCGGGTGGAAACTGCTCCCGTGGGGCGAGTAATCCTTTGCTGATAGCAGCCCCCGCCCCCAACCTCCAAAACCCACAGCGCAAAGCCAACTTGTACCGGTATTACTATGGTTATTATGATTTTTAAGCTCCTGTTTCTAGGGCTCTATGAAAATCAATGCCAAACTTCGGAACATCTCCATTTTGTTAGCGAGGAGGTGATGGTTTGCCTTGATTTTTTTTTCAGTGCGGTGCTGAGCAGCGACCCAGCGCTGCAATACATCGCTGCCCTCCACTGTAGCGAACCGCTGGAGGGGGGCCGAGGGTTGGAGGGGGTTCGTAAGCAGCCGCCCTATGGAAGTCAGTGGGTGTCCGCGCCGAGAGTTGGGGCATGGCACTTCTCACCCGCACGGGCAGAGCTCTTTTGCAGGCTGGATAGGAATCCCAATGCGTGGAACAGAAAGACAGATAGGGGATTTCTCCTCTTTAAGAAGCACAATGGATTTTGCAAGCGGCTAATTAAATGTAAAATCTCCCCCTCCTTCCCCCCCCCCCCCCCCTCTCCCCCCACCGCCCCTTGTTTGCAAAGCGGTGTGTAAATGATTCCACTTTAACTTCCAGCCCCTTTAGATCACCAATAGTGCCGCGGTGGTTCTGCTCGCGCTGCTGCGCTCAGAGTCAGCGTTTCCATTATAATTTCCTATTTTCAGGAGTTTTTACAGTGGTCATAAAAATTCAATCCAGGCTGAAACTTGGCATCCTAGGGCTCCTCCCAGGAGGCATTTCTTTTTGTTGTATTTGAAAGAGGAAACCATTTATCTGTTTTTACATTACAAGAGAGCAACAAAAGGAAGAGAAAGAGGAGTTTAGAGAACTTTTTTCTTTTCTTTCTCTCTCTCTCTCTTTTTTTTTTTTTTTTTTTTTTTTTGTATGTTTATTGCTTACTTTTGCTCAGCTTTACAGTATCTGCCATAGAAGTTAAAGGAGTACAGTGCACAATAATTAAT